GTAGAGTTAATGATATGTCAGGGCTAAAGCTTTTTGTTAATTGATGCTGTTTAACTATAGTCTTGAGTCATATGAAATACATTGTCTGTCTGATTCGATCTATGTCCGCCATCCTTCAGGCAGTAAATATAAAGAATAATCGTATGAAATGACTTAGAATTGGTATTTAAAACTTGTGGACACACTATTGGGAAAAGATTTAAAAGTTTCAAAGATTTTCAAACAGTTAGAGTTCTCCTTGGAATCGAGAGAAAATGGTACCTTTCAGGAGTACCCAAGGTACATGGGAATCTAGAAAAATATGTAGATTACTAAGCGCTGTTTTGTTTATTTTAATGTTAACACAATGTTAAGGTAATCGATTAATTCTCTTCCTGGGTCGGATGCAGTTGTCCTGTGTCAACGAGACAGAGTTTCTAGAAATCACTGTATCATCAAGATGTGTCGCTCTTTGTACACAACAACTTTGTACAAACTAGACTGGTACATAATTGCCAATTCCCAGCCAGCTTTAGTGGAAATAAAGATAATGTTGAAATACGTATTATGTTATAGACATTGACTGTTACTAGTTTATCTAATATCATTCCTTTGTAAATGAAAATATAACCTCATCATCATTCTTATCGAGTTTATCCAGCGTATCTTGATCTAATACTGTTTCGAGTATCAGTGTGCTGAGAAAGTAAAGTATAGCNACTTTCTCAGCACACTGATACTCGAAACAGTATTAGATCAAGATACGCTGGATAAACTCGATAAGAATGATGATGAGGTTATATTTTCATTTACAAAGGAATGATATTAGATAAACTAGTAACAGTTGATAACTCACAGGTGCCATCCGTGTCAATGAATATAGATACCAACTAATAATGACGATCCCATAGGGAGCCCATGTGTTGTTTCTAGATTCTTTTTCGTGTTTGAGTTTTAAAAATGTTTATTCTTTTTATCGAGTCTACTGTTGAAGATGTAAAGCTTCAAAGCGTTTAGGCGAACGTAATTTGTGGGAATAAAATTATAATTTAAAAGTATGAAAAGCCACAAAATGCAATTAACCAAGTGGGAACGATTTTCCAGAATAACCCACCGTCGATTATTAATCAGTGGCAGAGTTCCTAAGTCGGTCAGTTATGTTTAAGCGTAAATGCTCAGAGCACGTCACCAGCAGAAAATCGAGACAAGCCCCATTATATTCATCTATGGGTCATGGTTTGAGACAATGAACATGAATAGGTTGTCAAAAGCCATTACAAAGTTGCTTTGTAAGACTATTTTCTTTATTTCTAAGTAAATACCTTTTTTATCTTTTAGATACTCTTTCTTGTGAAAGGCAGATTTGGTATGACATACAACAAATATTCTTATCATATTCTATATATAATATAACTGTCATGCGCATAAGCGTATTATGTCATGTTATACCAATAAATAAAAATATAGAAAGGGAGAAAGACAGAAACGATGTGAAACAAAAAATTTAATTCGTATCGTATTCTTTTAAGCAATATATTTAGTATATCTATCATACTATAATATAAATTAAAAAATGATAATAATTTTATTTTAATTCACAAGTTGAGGCTGTTCTGGGATTCAATTGATACCTTGACTGAAATAGTTTGTGCGACTGTTAAAAGGTTAAAAGATAAATTATGTAGTTTGTCTATCTGTGCATCAAATTGAGGCCGTGCACAGACAGATTATCTTTCTCTCGCAAGTGTTTTGGTCAGTGCTGCAATCAAAAGAGCGAAGAGTCAGGATGCTCAAGTTTACAGCGGTAGACGGCGTATTTTTTTGAATTGTTGCCTTTAGCTACGCGCAAAGAACATCTAACGGTAGCCGCTGTTATTTCTAAGGTTTCGAAGCTGAATTCTTTTTCTCTGCTTATACAAACAGAAAAAACAGTTAAAATTGGAAAAGGAAATGTTGCTGGTCTTCGCCATTTTTTATTTCTTCGTTTTTGCTTTTTTCCAGCTAGACGATCATTGTTCAGTTGTGCCATTTATCTGTGATTGTAGGCTAGAGCATGAATCTCGTATAAAACAACGTCGATAGTCCAACTAGCACTACCCATTGATCATAACAGCTTTTCGTTGAGTCTAACACCGTCTTTCGATGCTCATCCATTAAGTTAAGTATTCACCACTATGATAGAGAGAAATACATCATTTCTGCCATGGCCGCCGTCATCTGCCTTTCCGCCATCCTATAATAGATTGGCTGATGATTTATTTTTATTTTGTATGATCCTCACTGTCAGAAACGGAGCCGGCACCCCGTTTACGAGTTATCCATAACTAAGTAATCAGACGTTTAATTAAAATCAGCTCTTATATAGTAGAAAATTCTGTCACAACTATGCATATGGCGTTGATTAGTTCAGGATAATTCCAGAACTTCGACGTTTTATACAAAAAAATTTAAATTATACACAGTAGGACGTTCATACCATATAGAATACGTGATCTCATAAAAAATCTTCGCAATTCTTCGATAAACTACGTTTTACGAAAAAACGAGCCTCCAAGCACTTTTTGTAATACTCTCATCCTGCCTGTTCATCGTACAGCTGTTGCCGCTGATCGAAACAGTTTTATTAACTGCCGCCCGTAAGAAATACACTTTTACACCGTGGTAGGCTAGATTACCCTGACGAAAGCATATGACCGCCATACTTTCGCGCAACCAGAGATTTCGGAATTCCTGAAAAATGTCTGAAGACAGAGACTGCGGATAAAAGCAGTTAAGGATACCGCGGACAGTCACAAATTTTGTGAAACCTCCCATAATTATGGAAATGTTCCGTCGCCTCTGTTAATATTCCCTGGAATATTATAAACCAGCAGCACCGTTTAAAACATTTAAACGTTCGGTTTTAACCAAAATGGTTCAGTTGTTTTCAGATATGTACTCAACTAAACAATTGTGTACCTGGAAACTCGTATCCCGTTAGCAAAGATTTAGAACTTTTTGACCTCTTGAAGAGACAGATAATTTCTCTTAGCAGTGCGTCTGCAGATGACAGATGGGGTGAGAATGGGTCTACCGGATGTCCTTGATGGATTATCCATTATACGAAATCATCGTAATACAAATGAGCGATTAAATGCAATTAAAGTGATGATAGAAACAATGAATATTACTATAGATAAAAAAATATCTATTTATAGTGATCCAATGGATGATATAACAAATCATTTATTTCGTGGTTGGCCAGAAAGGCTTTATGTTTTATATGACCAAAAGATTTTATTTCAAGGTAAACCAGGACCAATCGGTTATTCAATACCATCATTAGATTATTTCTTGAAAAGACACGTTGTCGTTGATAATTAGTTTTTCTTTTTGTTTCTGCTTTTTGTTTTTCATGATTTATGATGCTTTTGTATTGAAATTGGCTTAAAGTCCAAAGATACAAAACTGATTTCCCTGAAAAGTAAAAACAAAAACAAATAAATAATTTCAACTCATATTCTAGCATGATTATCTTCGTAATCAATTAGTTCGATGTGTTTGCAGTTCAAGTTAGATTTTAACATTTAGCTAAAGCAATATTTTCCAGTTTGAGCTAAGCAAACGCAAAACACAAAATAATCATCGTCCATCTGACAAGCTCAATAGTCCAGAAAAGCCCATCGCAAACAGGATCTCGATAGTGCAAAGAAATATCTGACAAGCAAATATGTAGGATTGCGGGAAACCTGATGTTCTTTGAGCAGAGTTGGGCAAGTCAAGTCAAAAATGTCTCAAGTCCAAGTCTTGACTTGGCAAAGATTTCGAATGACTCTGGCTTTACTTGCTAGATTGTTTTTCTGATCTTCTCACTGATTTCTAATTTTGACTATTTCTTAAGTCATTTCTAAAGTGCATTTTTCCGAATTTTTAATGTAAGAAATGATACGAACGATCTAAGTAGAACCATTTTCCATGATTTCTGTAAGTGATTCACTTATTGTATGATTTGGAGCGAAGGGTGAGCTTCGTCGCAGTTCTTACCAAATTCGTGTGCATATTATATCTGTGAAATTGCTGAATATACTACACAGTGGGCATTTCTCCATAGAATAGGCGGACATCTGATTTTTTGAGTTAAAAAATGATTATTTTCCCATAATATGGTCTTATTATGCGTCGGATATTAATAAAAGTAAAAACACTCGAATTCGAAAAAATGTTTTTCTATAAAAAAATTCCTCCCGGTTCTCTGAATTTTTGTCAAAAAGGTCTTTTATTTGTAAATGTAAAATAAACAAATTATACATCATTCGATGTAGTTTTTCATGCCGATTCCAAATATCACATTAATTTCCAATAAGAGTGTTTCTCGGCTGAGAAAAATGTAAAATATCTGAAAAACAGACGGTTTTCTAGAAAACCTAAATCTCACTCTAGCCGAAAAATTGCATAAATCTGCTATCCCCACAGATTCAGGCTATGTCGATGCAGGTTCTGCGAATTTTTCAACGAATTTGTAACTTCGGAAAATTTCGGAAACTCATTACACTGAACATAGCTCTTTGAAAAATGGCCTCGTTTGAGAAAAAGCTCTTTTTCGCTAAAGGACCTCATCTGAGACGAACGTTTTTTTTATCAATAGATAGCTAGAAGCATCGTGATTCCAAATAACACGTTTGGAAAATTTAAATATAATTCAGTTCAATAAAAAAATTGATTTTACATAGAGGTCACGGATTTTCGGGTTAGTTTTTCTTCAACATTTTTACCGCAAATTCCTCGTTCGAAACAAAGAATTTTACACCCTTAGATAGCCCATCTATCAAAGTATATTTGCCACTATTTTAATTTTAAAAAACCGCACTTTCAATTTTTCGGTAAATGTCCGCCTGGATGCCCACTGTGTACTGGTATTTACCAGTTGATACCCTATATTACTAGGCGAGCTGATGAGTCATTCATACATTGCATCATCTTCTACTGCTAAACGGAGAGTGAATAGAACTGAAAAGAAAACTATAGAAACTGTAAGAATCATTATGAATAACCCCAATTCTCCCACTCCACTTTCTTCCACAGTACAAACATCCTCTTTGATATCCATATCCCCAAGGGAAGTAACACCAAAAGAACATGATGTTGTGAAAATTGCATGCGACAAATTCTTCACAAATGTTACAAAATATGAGAAAAATTGGTCGGCTCAATGTTTGCTATGCGAGGAAGTAGTATTTGATAATCTCGGTGTTACCTCTAATGTTAACCGGCATATCAAAAACCGCCATAAAGTTGAATACGCTGAATGGTCAAAGGAATTGAACGAGTTAGATCAACGACAGCCGAAACTAACTGATTTTATTTCTAAGAAGAATCAATCACCATCATCTTCTAAACAATCGTGTCCAAAATCGTGTCCAACTAGTCATTGGAAGACAACAAGAATTAGACAACGGTATTATTCAAGATTTAATAAATGAACTAGGTCTCCCATTGCCATTAGTAGAAAGACCGTCGTTTGTGAAATTTGTGAATACTGTTGATCTTAAATTTTCGACAACGAGTCAACGAGCGGTTATAGAAAGGCAATTCCAACCCTTTATAATCAAATGAATAATTCATTAAAACAATTCTGTTCAACAGCGTAACATATCTCGTTGACGCTTGACATTTTGACTGACAGACGAATGCGTCCATTTTTCCGCATCACAGGTACATACTCAACCTTCTTTTAAGGATTTTTAAGTAATTTCGTTGTGAGAGCTATTCGCATATGATGTTAGCAATTCTGAAGCAAAGATTGTTTATCTTATATTTAACTCGTATTCTGATATGATACTCGTGGCTAGGCATGCATCATAATAACCGAATCGGTTTTTCGGTTTCAGTTAACCGACATAGGCGAATGCCTACACGTGATATTCAAATGCACAAGTAGGTCATGCGATTATTGATAAGGAATTCAAATCCTATGTGTTATGTTTTCTTACATTATTTTAAAAAATTCGAAAATTTAGTCATCCCAGGATTTGAATCATATTTTACCGATGATGATGAAAATAAAAATGATATCGAATTATTAGATGTAAATGATAGCCGTTCCGATGTGAGTGGTGACGAACTTAATCAAGATACGGCAATATCCATTGCAATTTCAACGCAAACGACGTTAAATACAGTGAAGGATAGTTTCTATAATGTTACATCTAAGAGTGAATTGAGATTGCCTGTTTTGCTCATACACTTCAACTTGTTGTTCAAGATGGTTCAAAAGAAGTTGCTTGTTTTAAACACACTAAAGCGAAATTATCAAAAATTGCACATTCAAACACTATATTTGCCGAAAAAATTAGAAACAATCGACAAAAATATACCGAAAGCAAATAAAACTCGATGGAATAGTCAACTGCATACTGTACAAAAAGTTCTTGAGATACCATCGACACAATTAAATTCAATATTGACTAAACTAAAACGAAAAGAATTGTGCTTAGCAACACGTGATTTAATAATGTTGAATGACTTCGTGTTGTTGTTAGCTTTTTTGGTGAAGCAACAACGGTTATCCAGCACAAAACTCACCATCGATTTCGCGCGTTGCTCCAAGTATTTTATCCATTTCTTTTGATTTGATTAATGAGCAAAACAATGTCGTTTATACAACTAAGTTATGCAAAGCTTTACTCTCGTCTCTAATAGCTCGATTTGGTGGTTTACTCGAGCAGCTTGAAATTGAATTTAATACAATAGTCAAGGAAGACGCAACATATGATTTGTATACAGATCCAATATTTTCTTGTCTCACCATTTTTAGTCGGAAAATTCAGACCCAAATGGATAACTGAGCCTCTGCTGAATGGAATGTATGTACTAAAATTCAAAAACTTGTATTTTGTTGGTTTTGTATTTTTGTTTTGCGCCATGTTCCTTCTGATGTGAACGTTGCTGAAACACAAGAACATACTATTGAAAGTACACCTAGCAGCACTCCAGAAAAGAAAGGTTTATTTTCTTATATTGAAATATGAGATTAAAAAGAAAAAAATCATCGATCCTTTCCAACGTATTCGAGATGAAACTTCGTTGTTTATGGAAGACGCTCAAGTGATAGTGTGCTGGTTTTTCGCAAGGTCGTCTGTATATAAAACGTTGAGTCAACTAGCGATAAAAGTTCTTTGTGTTTCAGCTACGTCAGCACCTACTAAAAGAGTTTTCTCTCAGGGCGGTTTTCTTATGCGTCAACATACGACTTCCTAGACTATGACTTGACTTGACTGACTTGGAGAATCTTTTCGCTGACTTGACTTGAGACTTGAAAAAGTTCTGACTTGCCCAACTCAACTTTAGCGTATACTTTACAAAACCCACGAGCTCGTGATGTGCTCTGTGTGTTTAAACTTAAACATAACGGACCTACTTCTGTAGAATTAAGGATATGTTAGGGCTAAAGCTGTTTGTTAATTGATGCTTGCTTAACTATAATAACTTCTAAGTTCGATCAATCGCCTGCTGCTACCGGCCCTGAAGATAGCGCAGTAAAGTCTTTAGAAGATGTTCAACAACTTTATTAACTGTTTTAATTCAAATTAAGACGTGAAAATATTGTGAGCGCAAGCAGAACGAGTATAATAAACGAGTGTATTAAAAATGTTGTAGATTCGTTGTTAGAAATAACTCTTAACATTTGCAATATTTCATCAAACGATGCCCAAGTACAGCAGATGTTTATAAATTATATGTTTTCTACGTATTATCCGTCTGAGAATACTTTTTTGAAAAACCGTGAAAAACATTTCAAGCTTATTAAACCAGTAGAAAGAACGCTAGCAGATGGTGGTACATATTTCTATATTCAACAAGTTTTGGCTCGGTTGTTGAGTATCAAGGCGTTTCGAAAAAGCTCCTTGAAGGGCTTCAAAAAAATCTGTATTTTAGGGATTCAGATTCGATGCATTCTTATCGAGATGGAAGTATTGTTCGCGAATGTTTGAGTGCCAAAAAGTAGTTTTTACTACAAATGTACACGCATGAACTGACTTGTTCCTCCCCTCTTCGTGGACATCAAACCCAATATAAAACAAATCTAATTTATTTTAATTTATTTTTAGATTGGATGATGCGCCAGTCAAAATGCAGTCTTTACTTTGTAGTATACATCTCTTAGCTGCAGGCTATTTGCATGAAATGAGTTCTACAGAAGGTTTAGCTTCGTTTTGGGAATTAGTTAGACAATATTTGATTTCATTGAGCAGTAAAGGTGTTTTAGTAGATAGTGACATCTACAAATTTTCTCTTAGTACCGTTTATTCTGATAATCTTGCTACATATTGGAGTTTTTCAAAGACCTTTTAACAGTGATCGTGTTTGTCGTTATTGTTTAATTCCTTATACAAACTTAAATCGTTGTTGTACTGAAAGTGGAAAGCAGGCTATTCACACAGTGAAAAAATTACCATCAACATCTAAAACATATAACGCTTTTTCCTGGGATACTCCGCTTCGGAGTTGAATCCCATCGCTCGCTTTGTAATCATTTTCTAGAGAATTGTGAGCTCTAAAACATATATCGTATATACAACTTGTATGGATTCTAATGGATTTGAAAACTTTCTGTTCTTTTTTAACTTTCTCATGTATATGTACTATTTCTAGATGTGGTTGTTAAGCGTTTATCGAATGAAGCTCTCAATCAGCCTAAACGATTATCATTCCCGCGTTCTTCTACGTCGAAAAAACAACTTTGACTCTTTCTTTTTCTCAGCGGTTACTACTGTGCTTTGATGTTGTGTTTTTTCCAAAAAAAAGAGCTTTCTTCAAAAACCATTTCAAATATAAATGCTCGTTTTTTACTCATTCTGTAGATAATTGGGAACTGTATAACAAATATAATTCTCACTCTCAAAATGGCGTTCTGTGAGATTTAATTTAAGGTGGTATTTAGATATATTGGATTTCTAAGCGGCTTATTACTGTGTCCTCACAAAAGTGCCCTTCCTCCAAACATGCCCTCAAACTTGGCCAGTTTGTAGAGAACACCTTCGGCGGTATGCTTATGCAATAAAAAACTCGTTGTTCAAGTATTGACAGAGTTATTAATTAATTAAGTTTAAATTCTAGTTTGAATTGCTATTCTCCCTTTTCGAAAGCTTTCAGTTCGATCAAAAACAATCGTAGAAGCGCCGTTCTTGCGTAGTTTGAGAGCCAATAATCTATGATTATAGTTTCATTAAAAAAATTTTAAATTGCTTTTTTAACGTATTAGATTATAATTAATAAGTGCTAATTGATACTAATTAGCAGCAGCACTTTGGTGCCTTACACTGTTTTTGTAAGTTACCGATTTTTTGCAGACCGTGAGGGAATATTATTTCAGATGAGCAGTTATTTCCACAAGATGGAACCACAGATGAATACATCAACTCGGTTAACACGATGCTCACAACATCGAAATTCAGTATCAGTATATCTCATATTGCGTGTCAGACAGACTCATGTCGGTCATTACAAATGCACTTGCCCTATTCTATGAGCCTCGGTTATATTAAATGAGCGCAAAGACAGAGCGTCCAGCAACTTTTTCGTCGGTCTCCGTTGGAAAATTTATTTCGTTCCAATCCGTTCTAAACAGATCAATCTTTAAAGCCAAATCATGCACTCAAGTTCTTATAGATTATGTCCAGTGGTTTTACGTACCCATTTGGTGAAAAACTGCGTGAACTCTTTACGAAAGGCTCTTGACACAGCAAAGTACGTATAGAAAGAAACAGCACTGTTGAAGTAAATAAGTATTGTTCCAATCGTAGAAATCAAGCTTTCGATTTGAAGATGCGTAACACTTTTATTGATACCCATATAAGTAGTCACTGCAACTTCCATAATGATGAATGGATAGACAAATGTTGTCACAATATAGACAACTACTTCCGCAAGTAACATAGTAAACAATTGTCGATCTCGACGACGAATTGTAATGTTGCCACGACTACCGTCAGTAGTGTTGCCGATCGGTTGAACGCGTGCGTGTTGCCGATCGGTTGAACGCGTGCGTGTAACCGTTTAATGTTATTATAAATCAGAAAACCGAAAATGATCATCGACACTGCGGGAATTAAACAAACAAAAACCAGAACGTAAGTGTTATACACAATATAATAAACACCGATTGGACCACATCGTCCGTTAGAGACTGTTGTCAGGATTAGCAAATGGATGGGGAAGATATGCCAGAAGGTAAATACAACTCCCATAATGCATCGTACTATCCGTGGTCGATTGATGACTCGAAAACGAACATGATTAGTAGTCAACATAAATCGGTCAGCACATGCAAGTACAATGAGGTATCTAGCTATTTGGCCCCATGCATGATAGAAATAGATATGTACTTTGCAAAAGATCAGAGAACGGATTGTTGGATCCCCATAATCAATAGTATAGAGAGAGATTGGAATATTGACTGTAATAAAAGCACTGTTGATCA